ACTTTGTATAAACTATGTGTGTTAGTAAAAGAAGTCTTTGAAGAATTGTTTCAAACTTGAACGCGTGTGAAAAAATATATATGAAAAGATAAGTATCTCTTATCTTTAACTGTTCTACAACACATACGAAATTTGATAAAAAAATACGCGGAATTTTTAAATTTCGGGCTGTATAAGTCCAATTGTCACAATTTTTGTTGTTGTGTTGATATACTTGTCCCTAACGTATCTTGACATTGGTAGCCATATTGGATGCTTAATTTATTATTGGCTGTTGAAAAGATTACATGTGTTTTGGTATACTCGGCGATTGAAGACGTTAAAGATGACGAGCGTCCTGGACGCCTCAGCACATCAACAACCGATGACAACGTCGAAAAAATGAAGAAAATGATTATGAACAATCGCTGAGTCACTATCAGAGAGATTGCTGATGATGTTGGCATATAATTTGGCTCATGCCAATTTTTTCGGATGTTTTGGGCATGAAATGTGTGGCAGCAAAATTTGTTCCGAAATTGTTGAATTTCGACCAAAAGCAGTGCCGAATGAATATTGCTCAGGAGTTGCTGAATGAAGTCAAAGACGATCCAGAACTGCTCAAACGGGTCATAACTGGTGATCAAACATGGATGTATGGATATGACGTCGAAACTAAGGTCCAATCGTCCCAATGGAAGCTTCCTGAAGAGCCAAAACCGAAAAAAGCTCGATCGAATGTGAAGATTCTGCTCACTGTGTTCTTCAATTTCAACGGCATAGTATACCATGAGTTCTTGCCACTAGGTCGTACGGTCAATAAAGAGTACTACCTGGAAGTTCGCCGTTTGCGTGAAGCAATCTGAAGAAAACGCCCGGATTTGTGGCGAAACAATTCATGGCAATTGCATCACGATAATGCACCTGCTCACACTTCTCTGCTTGTTCGTGAATTTTTGGCCAAAAACAACACCGTTATCATGACTCAGCCTCCGTATTCGCTGGACATGGCCCCCTGTGACTTCTTCCTATTCCCGAAACTGAAAAGAACCATGAAAAGACGTTTTGTCAACATTGAAGAGATAAAGACAGAATCGCTGAAGGAGCTAAACGCCATACCGAAAATTGCGTTCCAGAAGTGCTTCGAAGATTGGAAAACGCGCTGGCACAAATGTATTATATCTGAGAAATACTTTGAAAAGGACAAAATTAATATCAATGAATAAATAAAGATTTTTTGAGAAAAACGAAAATTCCGCGTATTTTTTGATCAAACCTCGTATATGTTGATTCCAAAATCGAAGAAATAAAATAAATTGTAAAGACCCGTACACACATATCAGATATTCTATTGCATCAAAGACGAGCATATCGCGAAAGAAATACAATTTATTTATTTTGTTGTTGTATCACAGGTGGGGTTTTATACAAAGGATGAAACAGCATGTAACGTGGTTTATTTTTTTTGTATTCAAGGTATCTCGAATGAATGTTACAAGCAATAATATAATCAAAAGTAATCAATGAGAAGCGATGAAACTGAAGTCAAATATTACACCTCTTTTCATTATTGGTCACATTATCTCATCTTCGAATGATTGATTTTTTCGCAGTTATCGTCTTTTATTTTCTTTTCTCTTTTCTTCTTCTGCTTCTTTTTTTCTTTAATAATTTGTACTTCTCTTGGCGCAATCTCTTGGCTCTATAGCTCCTAAGAAACCGGTCGATTGCTTTCCAACGTCGATAGATTTGCGAGGTTTATCATACTTTATCGTATAACGATAATGATATCAAGAACGATGCCGCTCGATTCACCAGATTATTATTAGTTACAAAATGATCGCGTACGCGGGAGACCACCATTATCAATCACGCTCAGAGTCGTCCGGCTTCACACACGCGTAAATAGATCAGAAACAAACATCGGTGTTCTCTCCTGGAGTGAAAGAGTCATAAAAAATATCGTCTGTTCAATTAAACGAACGCTAAGGTTCACTCACCGGTCAAAGAGGAAGAATTAGTTATAAATGTCGATCTCCCGCACGTCGGCGAAAATGATACGCGAATTGAAACAATGCGCCACGTGTAAAGTAACAACGGAAAGCGCGTAAATCAAGCCGCATCGTTGCGATAACGACGGCAAACGATCGTGGATTGCCGGCGTTACGCGCGCGTATTATATTCCGCTTAATAAAATCTTGTCGAGATTTAAAATAACGAAACGCTAGTCATAATAACTTCCTCTAATTAACGATTATTTGGTAATATATATTTATATTATATAAAGTAGTAGAAAAGAGGGAAAGCAAGTCCGTTTTCCTATCTCGTAGATTCTTTTTCCTCCTCTCGTAAATACAAAAACGTAACGCGTAGTATCTAAAGTATGCACGTGTTCCATGACGCCACGAGGATGTTCCGATCGCGCGGCAAAGTTCGCGTTGCGCGCAATCGGCGCTGACTGAATTCGACGCGCGACCGCCGACAATTCTTATACCTCCCCGGCGCGGTGAGCCGGGTGAGGCTCAGGAGATCGAAATATCGTCTCTCGTCTGGCTAGACGAGAGTTTGCGAATGCAATTTGATGAGACAAAGAACGCGATGCGCGATCGCGACTGACCAAAAATCGGCTCGAGACGGGGAGCGATCGGTCGGGCACGCGACTGAGCGCGTTCCCGAAAATTTCAAATGCGAGGAATCAAAACGATCGCATACGAGTTTAAGGGGGCAACTTGTCCGCGCGAACTTGCTTCGCCGCCGCGTCGTGGAACTTATCGGTTTCTTACTTTTTTTTTCTTTTTGTTTAATCGTATGCGTATCGCTGTAATATTTCTTTCCTTTTTATGTAATGTATCGTTATAATGTTCGTGTAACAATAAAGCAATATGCAAATGGTATGAAGACTTCTCGTTCGGAGGTGGCTGCTCGTGTTAGCGCGTTCCGTGCATTCGCGCGGAGGAATTCCATTAGCTCTAAAGACACTTCGTCCTTTTTTTTCTTCTTTTTACGTATCTCTATCTAACGCATTTTCTCACTTTCTTTTTCTCATTCTCTTGTCCCTTTCTTTCTCTCACATACACGCGCGCACACGCACGCACACATATACATACTCTCTCTCTCTCTCTTCCTTCCGCGTCCACATTCTCTCGCTCTCTTTGGCCCGACCGAAGTAATCTCGCTATCGAAGATGTTGCTAACCGCGCCGCAACGTCTCATTCTTCCGAATGTGTAACATTACTCACAGAGTACACCACAATCTGTTCCCGAACTCTGTCACTCTCCTCTTATTCGTCAAGTTTCTAATCGACTCAGAGTCGTGGTCTCGCTCAAGATTAATCGGGGTGAACGCAACACTCTGATGTTCAGACAGACGGACAGACAGACAAACAGACAGACGAGATTCCTCGATGGACTGCGAAGATAACGAAGTTGCGTTTGATTTTTACGTTTCTTTTTTTTTGATAATTCTTCCAGAGAAAGCATCGAAATTCCAAATTGGCCAAGGAACGTGTGTGATCGAAGGGACAATCCGGGTCGGTGTCGGAACGCCCTGTGCAATACAAATGTCGGCGATTTCCTCCGTGTTACACGAGTCACCGGTTCGAAGTTGTCGAACGCGTCGTCTTAGCACGAAACCGCCGCTTCTTCCAGCCGCTTCCGATATCTCT